TATCCTCTTGGAGCTTACACTCTACTGAAATAAATAGTCAGCAAACAAGTAAAAACTGACATAATAAGATAGATAATAAATATATTTTATATGATTGTCAGCAAAGGCTTTGATGAGAAGGTACCAGTTAAGCAGGGATATAAATGAAGCTAGGGAGCAAGTCATGGGAAGAGCATCCCAGGAACAGGGAACAGCAAGTGCAAAGGTCCCATGATGGGACCATGTTCGTGTGCTTGGGCCACAGTAAGGAGCACACGGTGAGAGATTTGAGGAAGTAACTCCGGGTCAAGTCATGTATGGCCTTGTCTGGAAAATCTTCTAATCATGATGACAAGTCACTAACTATTTGAGAGCAGAGTATTATATAGTATTACCAGTAAAAATAACAACTAAATTTGCATTGCACTTCATTTGCACTTCACATGTGCTTCACTCTGTTCCCAGTGTTTTACTCATGTGCTGTGCTTAGTCGCTCAGTTGTGTCCAACTCTTTGCGACCCCATGGAGGGTAGTCCACCAGGCTCCTCTATCCATGGGGATTCTCCAGGCAAGAACACTGGAGTGGGTTGCCATGCCCTCCTCCAGGGGATCTTCCCAACCCAGGGATAGAACCCAGGTCTCCCACATTGCAGGCAGATTGTTTACCATCTAAGCCATCAGGGAAGCATTTTACTCTTATTAACTCATTTAACTTTGCAACCCTATATTGTAGATATTATTATCATCTTTATTATTTTACAGATAATGAAACTGAAGCAAAAAATGTTAACTAACATGAATGTTTTATGTTATTATGTTATGGAATTTGAATTTGAACCCAGAAATCTGGCTCAGACCTCAACCACTAGCCTGTATTTATTCTGATTTCCATTTATAAAGATCACTCTGAAGTATGAGGAAAGACTTTGGAGGAAAGACTTTGGAGACTTTGGAGCAGGGGGGCCATTGAAGGGCAAAGAGAATGACTTGGACTCTGGTGGTTGCAGTGAGGAGAGAAATAGTGGTCAGATTTAAGATGCATTTTGAGGGTAGAGAAAACAGATTTGTTGATAGATTCTATATGAGCTCTAAAAGAGAGGGATCAATGATGAATCCAACTTACTGCCTTAAGTAACTGGGCAAAAGTAGTGCTTTTTATAAAGCTGGGCTTCCTTGGTGGCTCAGATTGTAAAGAATCTGCCTGCAATGAAGGAGACCCAAGTTTAATCCCTGGGTCAGGAAGATCCCCTGCAGAACGAAATGGCTACCCACTCCTGTATTCTTGCCTGGAGAACTCCATGAACAGAAGGGCCTGGTGGGCAACAGTCCGTGGGGTCACAGATAGTCGAACATGACTGAACAACTAATACTTTCAATTTTTTGACTTTTCTTACAATGCTAGAAAAGCTGGAGGAGGAGGCATACATAAAGAGCTTGTTTTGAACATGTGAAGTTTCAAGTGTGTATGACACATCTAAGAAGAGATAAGAAGGAGGCAATAGGGGAAACAGAGTTTGTGATTCCTATGGCATATTTAAATATGAAAGTTTTTAATCACATAAATGCCTGAGATAAGATGTCCTAGGGAGGGACTATAGGCATGCCAAAGACTGGATGGAAAACAAGGAGTCAAGTAAAAAAGAGTTTAAAGGAGAAACAACTGTATCTGATGCTTCTAAACAGTTATAGTAAGAAGGCCAAGAATTGACCGTTGAAGTTGGCAAAGTGAAAGTCATTAGTTACAGTCACGTTGCCTATGAAGTGTTAGGGACAAAAGTCAGATTGGACTGGGTTCAAGAGAAAAACAAATTCTGAGGCCCCCTTACAGCTATTTGCAAAATAATTGAAAATAACTTGAAAAAAGAAGTAGAGGCTAGCAGCAGAGGGAAGAAGCAAGTAATGATGCTTTTCCAATAGTCAGTCAATTTCAAAATATTTTTCTGAGCATTTCTAATGCACTCAACACTGTTAGGCACTGACATCAGTGAGTTTGCAACCTCATTCATTCATCCGCACTTGGTCACTGAATGCCTAGTATGTGAGGTTTTCAAACATTTTCTAATTGTACAGTAATATTTGGCCATTAAGCAAAATAAAAAAGAAAAATACTTCCATAATTTTGACACATGAACATTTTCCACAGTCCTTTCAATCACTGTCCATGTTTTCATACCTTTTACACAATCTTTTTGATTATGTCTTTTCCTTTGTAGACATAGTTTCATAATCTGTTAATTATGACAGTAAATTCTTTATTGTGTGAATATACAGCACTAGTTATTTAACCATTTTCGTTCTCAGTCACTTGTTTGTCTTAAAATTACAATATTAACATTGTGATGACTTGTCTATGTAGTATGAGCCTCATCAAACTAGGACTATCTCCTCAAAGTCCAAGAGTACATCTGGTTAAATTATGAATCACCAACATGTGCCTGGCACAGAGTCAGGACTTCTAGAAAGCACATGAGACTATCTATTAAGAGCAAGAAGACTGCCTCAGTTCTCATTTTGCAGTCTCATCTTGTAGGCTAGTGGCCTTAGGCAAGATATGACTTCTCCGTCAAGTCTTCATATTGGAGATAATAATAGTAACTTACAGATGATTGTGAAAATTAAATTAACTGATATATATAAGCATATTATATATATCTATATATCTATATTATATATATTATCTAAGCATATATAATATATAAGCATATATTATAAAAGTTTTCAATAAGCGTATTATATCAGAAAAAAAATTTTCGATGTCCTGGAATATATTTCATGAGTGAGTGAATAATAAATCAAAGAACAGTTTTGCTTCTACTTCATAAAATAAACTTTTAAAATTTTAGATTGTTTCCTTTTTGGTACAATGTTGTCAACAGGTCCTGCATGCCAGGTATCCAGAGACAAATGCTTTCTCAGGATTGATTTCCATAAACGATAGCAATAAGTGAAAGCACATGAACAGGACTACAGCTTTAGTAATATTGTTATTTTATGTTAGAGAGTTCAACCATTTGAGGGAGCAGTGTCTGAGTTTTGCATTGCTGTTCATCTCCAGCTGGTACCTCCTAGAGACTGGCACCTCCTAGTTCTACTTACTAATTCATGAGGACCTTTTTCCTTCACGTCTTTTTTCTCCTTCTCTTTAATTTCTTTCTTTGGATCTCAATTTTTTGGATAAATAAACAAACAAGATTCAATTAGGCAACTCTAAGAACAGTGTCAGACTTTATTTTTTTGGGCTCCAAAATCACTGCAGATGGTGACTGCAGCCATGAAATTGAAAAACGCTTACTCCTTGGAAGGAAAGTTATGACCAACCTAGACAGCATATTAAAAAGCAGAGACATTACTTTGCTAACAAAGGTCCGTCTGGTCAAGGCTATGGTTTTTCCAGTGGTCATGTATGGATGTGAGCGTTGGACTGTGAAGAAAGCTGACCACCGAAAAATTGATGCTTTTGAACTGTGGTGCTGGAGAAGACTCTTGAGAGTCCCTTGGACTGCAGGGAGACCCAACCAGTCAATCCTGAAGGAGATAGGTCCTGGGTGTTCATTGGAGGGACTGATGCTGAAGCTGAAGCTCCAATACTTTGGCTACCTCATGCAAAGAGTTGACTAGAAGGGGACGACAGAGGATGAGATGGTTTAATGGCATCACCGACTTGATGAGCATGAGTTTGAGTGAACTCCGGGAGTTGGTGATGGACAGGGAGGCCTGGCGTGCTGAGATTCATGGGGTTGCAAAGAGTCGGACATGACTGAGCGACTGAACTAAGAACAGAAAGAAAAGTGAAAGTGAAGTCACTCAGTTGTGTCCGACTCTTTGCGACCCCATGGAGTATAGCCTACCAGGCTCCGTCCATGGGGTTTTCCGGGCAAGAATACTGAAGTGGGTTGCCATTTCTTTCCGCAGGAGATCTTCCAGACCCAGGGATTGAACCCGGGTCTTCTGCACTGTAGACAGACGCTCTACCGCCTGAGCCACCAGGGAAGTTGTACGAACAGAAGGTAAGGCATAAATGTGGTACAGTAAAGCGTGTGTGAAGAGACACGTCGGCTTGGCTTTCGTTGGGAGTCTCAGAAATGAGGAAAGGTGTTGAAAGGGCCTTGCCAGCCAGGAAGGAATGGTGATGGACTAGCAATAGAGATCAACAGAATGTTCTTGAACAAAGAAGTCGACAGTCATTGCAAAGCTCAGGATGACTACACAGACTACCATCTAGAGTGGGAGAAGTTGGCTGAGGGCTCTTTCAGATATCTGGAGAAAAGGGAGTGAATGAAAGGGAGTGATTCTTTTGCGATCCCTTGGTTCTATATCGATGATTTAATTCATTCACTAATTCAGTATACATGTACTGAGTGCCAACGTTGCGCCAGGCACCTTGCTAGGCACACCAGTACACGCCAGTGGAAAATACAGATTTCATTTTGCTGTCATGAGCAATAGTTTGTTCCCATGACTGTTACTTGCAGCGGAGCAGGGGGTCCGGACCACCAAGGTGGAGTATGTTTCCTCCTGTAGCGCTCTGGGTTTGGCACACGACAGGGGCGCAAATTCTGCACAGATTCATGGCTTTGGTGCAGCAGAGAGTTAAATACACAGAGCCGGGAAGAGGCAGGGTGACAGCGTTCCCGACCAGGAGACCAGGATCTTGCAATGAGCGCAAGTGTACGTCTCTTGTGTGGAGCAGAGGCACATCTACCAGAAGCGCCTGGCATCGTGCCAAGCTGCGGGACCCACGCTCTCCCTCTCTGCGCGCTCTAGTCTGCCCAGGAGGTGGCCGGGCACCGAAGGGCCTAGCGCCGCCTCGGGTTGGCGGGCCGCGGGCGGGGCGCCGCCCCTCCTCGCCGCGGGCGGGGCTGCTGTGGGTGCCGCCCCGCGGCCTCAGCTCTTGGAAGCCCAGAGCGCGGGTGGCTGGCGAGCCGAGGCGGCGGGTGGAGCCGGAGCCGCGCGGCGGCGGCCAATCGCGCAGCGGCGGGGGAGGAGCCCCAAAGGGGGAAAAAAGAAAGTGCGGCGGAAAGTAAGAGGCTCCTTGCGGGAAGACTGGCCGGATCGGGGTCCCCGGGGCTGGGCTTTGGCCAAGCGCACCGAAAGATTCGGAGCTGGGCGATCCTGCACTCATTCCCGCCGCCTTCACCACGTCCTCTCTTCCTCCCAAGAAAGGTGAGTCTGGTGCGGTGATGAGGGCTTGTGGGATCACCGACCTACCGAATCTCAGGGTGGACGGGTTCTGACAGATCTTCTCCTTCAACCCTGTTTTACAGAAGGGCAAACTGAGGCATAGAGCGAGGCGGCGGCTGGGATAGGTCGCACAGCTAGTTAGTGCCGGGGTCAGCACTCGAACCCACTGTCCCGAGTCCCATCCTTGCTTTATAAACATTTAAGTAACGCCGTTACGGGAGGGCTGCGCGTCGCTGCACCCTTCTCGCAGCTCTGAGGAATCTACCCTGGTATACCCCCGCCTTGATTTCTCTGGAGTGCTGCTGTGAACCAGGAGGATAGATGGGGGCAGTGTATCCCAGCGTTGCCACTGGGTATCACGTCGCTTCCAGTTTGGACCTGTGACAGCCTGGGTAAAGGCTGCTTACAGCTTCCCTCCCTCTTTCCCGACCTGTTTTTTCAGAAACGTGCCCCGCCGAGGGGGGTCTGTCAGACTCCCGGTGGGGTCAGTGGAGAGGTGAGGGACGTCCCAGCACCAGCCACCCCGTTTGGTACCCTGCTCTCTTCAGCCACAGGGGAAGCGGGGTCAGTGGTCCTGTGGGAAATGCGATGCTTCTCATATAGGATTAGGTGACCTCACAGAACCATAGCCACTCTCACTGCTAAGTCCTGGGAAGGAAGGAGGCAGCTGAGTTACACAGACAAATCACAAATATGATAGCAAACTTCTGCCGTTTCCTTTAAGAGCCGGTGCCCAGCCTGTCTTGCCTCCACCCCCTGGTTGTGAAATCCTGAAACACTGCTCTGCTCCAGGATCTCAGGTTAGCTACCAGCTGAGGAGGATTTACCTGGCTTTCTCTCCAGCTCTGCCTCGTTTTAATTGTGTGAACTTGGGCAAGTTATTCAGTCTTTTTGATACTTAGTTTCGTTTTTTTGTTGTGTGTGTGTGTGTGTGTGTGTGTGTGTGTGTGCCTGTTTTTGGTCCAGCCGTAAAATGGAGATTTTAATGGTCACAAAGAGTCCTTCGGTCACTTGGGAGGATGAAACGGGGTAATTCAGACCGCATGGTTATCACAGTGCCTGACTTGGCACCTGGTCAATTTGACATTGATGGCAGCAATTGTAAATATTGTTACATGTTAACCTTGGAGACAGTGGGTTTTTTAGGAATTGATTTTTCAGATAGAGTGACTTTTTTAAAAATCTGGATGTTGTGGTGTTTCCTTCTTTGGAGTTTGAACAGCTCTTTCATAGTGTTTTCTGAATGCCCTCTACATGTGACTTTGATAGTAGATGCTTGACTTGGAATATAAAATGTTTCTCAGTGATGCCAATTCCCTGCTAGTTTTTAGGTCAAACGTTAGTTCTGTGAAACTTTCATCTGAGGCTGCCTTTATTGGCAAAGAGGGTCTTGAATTTGATGAGAGGTAGAAAGACAAGAGGAGAAGTTACAAGTTTCATCTATGTTGCAGACTATTCTAAGCCTTTTATTCCTGCTGTCTCAGGTCAGACAAGCAGCTTTATACTTTTCAGCTAGTATAGGAAAACAAGAAGATTTACATGCATTTCTTTTGGATTATACAGTGATGCTCCTAAATTCAGTCCCTCTGGACACAAACATCTCATATAAACACAAACATCCATATGTGTCCACCCTGTCTAGTCATCCTTTATTATTGGTATTATTGGTACTTTAACATGAAATAGTGTCCCTTATATACCCCCACCTGGAATGTAACAATTGATTTTATTCTGATTGACTTCATACAGTTATTTACTGTTATCTCCTGGCTGTGCTGTAAGTCCCTGAACTGAGCATCCAGTATTTATAGTTGACTGCCTGCTTTACGGTCCGTTGCATATGCCTGTTGTTACTGAAGTGTGCAGGGTGGGGGTGTGATACACCTGGAGGAAAGGACAGGGTTTGGTGGTCCCCTTAGGTACCTCCCACACCAGGAATTTGCAGGAGATGGGAATGCTTGCTTCTGTCAGCCTGTTCCGTGTGCATGCATTGTGATGAGCTGGCCAGGATACATCTGAACGCATGCCTGAGACCGGGGACTTGTAGGGAAAAGGAAAATGTTCAAAATAAGGTCAGAACAAGGGGATGGGAGATTGAAAGCTGACTCCTTTTAGTTCTGGTTTTTCAAAGAAAGGTTATTCAGTTATACCTTTTCTCCTTATCTAGACTGTGTTTATACATATATATATATATATATATATATATGTATGTATGTATGTATGTATATATATGCCTTTACAATTTCCAGCATATGCCATATGTGTTATCTTCATTGCTACTTGCAATAGCCTTGAGAGAAGGACATAATGGGTGTAGTAATAGTGGAAGGATAACATGATGATATGATAAAGTATGAAAAAAAACAGTTTTCTGATCAAATTCAAATTCCATCTCTAATTCCTATGTAGCTGGGTAATGCTAAGCAATTTATCTCACTGTTTAGAGTTTCTGTTTTACACCATTCTAAAGTGAAAAAAATGCTTACCCCAAGGATTCATATAAAGAGTAAATTAAGTCAAATAATGTAAAATGAGTGTAGTGAGTAGGTGCTCATTAAATGATATCTCTTCTTAGCTGATCTCAATTTACTGAGAAGAAAATTGAATGAGAGTCAGAGAAAGGAGAAGTTGTCAAGGGTCAGGTGGTTAGTAAATTTCAGTCTTAGAAATACAGTTCACATCTTTTGACTTCTAGTGGAGGGCTTTTCCTGGGACTTCGTGCCATCTCTCCAATGGGCATCGTTAGCAATTTACTTCACTTGTTAGGGTGACCTTACTTTTTTGGTGATTTCAGGGTATCCATTTTGTCCTGAAGAGGATAGTTCTTTGCTGAGAGAACTATGCTCTGTGGAGTTTGGTGGGGCAGCTGTCAGGAGAAGAAGTTTCAGAGTGATGAACCTCTAGGTCAGCCTGTCTGCTCACATGTGTCTGATGCAGTATACCTTCAATTCCTAGGCAGAAGGGTACCACGAAGACATAAAGTGCAGAGTTATGTCATGGCCTTCTTTCTGTTCTGGATGGTTTCTTCTTTCAGCCATCCTAGTGCTAATACTCAGGGCCTTAAGAAGGCTAAGGAACAAATGCCATGAGTGACCACTGCATTTTTCTCTTCTTTTGTCTAATTCCAAGGATGGAAAGGGTGGGATATAGTGAACAGTATGCAGAGGCAGTATTTATAGGAAAGACCACTGTCGGTTGGCGATGCTGATCACTGGTCTGGGGTTCAGTCTTCCTGGTGGAAACTGATGGCTGCAGGCTTATGTAGGAAAATGAACAGATCTGTTTCTGGCCCAGTCAGTAGGGCCATTTATCTGTTGAGACTTCAGGTTTCTTTGCTTTGCAGCAAGCAGACCGGCTGGCAAATACATTTAGGGGAGAAACACTGTGTTTCTTGCTTTTGGCATCTGGAAGCATATGTTTGCTTTTGCCAAAAGGTAGGCAGTCAGCGTCATCTTACCTGGCACAGTTAGGAAAGCAGAAAGGAGCTGGAGAAAATCGGAGGAAGAAGCAGAAGAAAAAGCTAAAGGTTATCTCTGACATACACACAGTTTCAGTTGTTGCTCAACTTTGTCAGGCTTTTGCTGATGACACAGATGTAGGATCTGGTGAGTCACTATTGCCTTGCCTGTGAAATATTAAAGAGAGCCACCTACTGTGCTCTACCCATTTTGGAAATTGTTCTGTGGGAGAAACAGAAACCCCAAAGAACAGGAAGGTTACAGAACATTTAGTATCTGGTATTTGGGGGGATTAAATCAGGTTAGCTACTCATTTCCTTTTTTTTATTGAAAGTGAGCATGCATGGCTTACATTGACAAGGTTGTTAGGGGACCTCCTTCTGGTCTGACCATGTTCTGACTAGCTCTAGCAGCTGTGGCAGTGTGGAGTCTTCGCGTCTTCCTGAGGCAAGTTATTATGCGGAGATGTGCCTAGGTCTCCTCAGCTAGAAAACAGGAACACTGACATTTACCTAGAAGCTTGAGTCTGTCTCAGCACCTCATTCATGAGAGTTATTTGCTATACATTAATTCTTTCTTCTGCCATCAGTTCTTTTAATTTATTGATTTGTTCAGTTGTGAAAATCAAAATTTAAGGATTTTTGATTAAATCATTTAGTGATCCGCTTTTAGTGATCCCCATATGACTTGTTCTAAGTGTTTTACCAGCATCATATCATTCAGTCGTTATAGTCATCCTGTGTACTTTTGAGGCAACTGAGACTCAGAGAGGTTACATAGCAGGCCGTTGTCATGTAGCACAAAGAGGCACCGCTGCTGAGACCCATCTTTCCCTTTCACTTTAGATCTAGGAAAGACCTGAAATTCTGCAGCCTCTGGACTAGAACTGAGGACCTGAATTGAGACCCACGACCCACCCCTCCCTATCCCATCTTCTGATCCTGGTATTATCTTGCCTGGGCTGGGGGAAGCCTCATTACCTTTGGGCCTAAAGTGTGAGAGAGCTGCTCTAGTGAATCTCTAAGGCTCTTCTGCTGCAATGCATTGTTATTTTTCTCTAAGCTTCCTTTCAACTCTGAAATTCTATCACCACATCTCTTTGTAAAAGTCAAGGCTAAAGATTGAAAGGGGAATGAAGAGAAAATACCCTGATTGTTTTATGCCAAGAAACCTATTTTCTGGTTAAATAGAGGAGGGCAAAGGAAATCAGCATTCATCAGTGCATGTACTTCTGTCATTTCATTTAAGCATAAAAATAACTCTCAGATCTATATTATTGTCTGCCTTTTACAGATGAAAGAACTGAGGCTCTGAGAGACTTAGAGAATTGCCTACAGTTATCCAATTAGTGAGAATTAGAACTTGTGTGCCTGAGCACACAGCTCTTTGGTCAACTCTCCAGTGTTTATTAGACACTGTACCATAAGACCTGAGGACTCGCATAGCTAGATTTATCAATGTCTCCTGTATGCTCACACCACACCACCTTAAACTACTATCGCCTTTCCCCTACTTTTCTTTCCA